AAAATGATGTCAATTTGGTTGTTTTTTTTAGTGTTTTAATTGTTTTTTCTTCGCTTTTGAATGCTTGGTATGCTCTCGATACTTTCGATAGAGAGCCACCGCTGTCTCGCCTTGCTTAGTCGCACGAATGAAGCTGACACTAACCTGGTAAGCTTTCAAAGTCAAAATGATGTCAATTTGGTTGTTTTTTTTAGTGTTTTAATTGTTTTTTCTTCGCTTTTGAATGCTTGGTATGCTCTCGATACTTTCGATAGAGAGCCACCGCTGTCTCGCCTTGCTTAGTCGCACGAATGAAGCTGACACTAACCTGGTAAGCTTTCAAAGTCAAAATGATGTCAATTTGGTTGTTTTTTTTAGTGTTTTAATCGTTTTTTCTTCGCTTTTGAATGCTTGGTATGCTCTCGATACTTTCGATAGAGAGCCACTAGTATGAGCATTATCGACTTTAAATATTGATTTCTATTGCAGAGTCTTGGGAGAGGTTGTCAGGCGATGTACGCAAATCCAACGGGTTTGGGACCTGAGATAGCGTTCTTCAACATGTTACTGGTCAAAAAGAAGATCTCTCTATCAAAGTTGTTGTTTTGCTGTTTTTCAAGCGCATATGCTTTTCAACATCGTCCTTTAGCCTCTGGATGCACATTCACTTTTGCGACCAGAAGCGATTGAAGCCTGGTTCTACCTCTACAGAACGACTTGTGAGTTATACACCAATGACTTTTATGTATAATTCATCAATACTACCAGATTTAGGTGACAAAACTTATCAAGAATGACGTTGGAATGCCTTTGAAGCGAATTAGAAATATGCGCGGGTGCGAAATGGTTACCAGTGAAGAGTGTCAAGAAAATCCCTGTTACATACAGGTCTGTCTACCACACGATAATGTTGTTTTTACTGTGATCATCCTATATTCAGAGATCTGATGGAACTGTTTTTATCTGCTAAGGTTTCAACTACCTCTATCTTCTATTTGCTGATAATCAAAAGGATTTGTTCCCATTGGGTATACAACACCGAAGCTCTCCTCTACCAATTGATCATTAGCATATGCCCCTGACTATAGAGATGAGTACGGAAGTAGCTCTGTCCCTGCTAATCAGATCTTGAGAGCTGCCAGCAGGCCGCCGAAGATGCCATCTCAGTTTGGTTGAGCCAGTTCAGAGCTCATAATCGATTGACCTCATTGTGAGAGAGATCATGCTCAAGAGATTCATTCTTCATCAATCAAAATGAAACACTGACATTAGCTCTAGTTACCCTTAGACCCCGGACAGAGTTAACGCGATTTGATCGCCGCGATTCAGTCGCGACAAGATAACTAATACGAGGTCATTGCATGCCGACAAGCTTGCATTTCGGTTATGATACTTTTCCAGTCCGAATTTTGAATGTGAAAATGACTGGAAAACACGGCGACGATCAAATCGCGTGAAGTCTGACCGGGGCCTTAGGGTTATTTGCAAACACATTCATTTTTAGCTGCTCCTGCCTATTCGCCTCGTAATATCTGTATGTATCTAAATAGAACTATGAGTTGTTTTGTTGTTATTTACTAACTTTTTTGACTTCTAGTCATTCACTTGATGACTTTGATGAAACCTTGATGGATTTCTCATACTGTGATTCAATGTCCTCTTTTTGTAGAAGAACTGTAGTGCTTTTAATGCAGATATGCATCTATGTCAGTTGTGAAGCGTCTTCTAAATCGTGTTGTTTTTCGTCCTACCTTTTGAATTCGCATTTACTCAAAGCAGTTCGATTAATCATGCGATTGTGATATAGCTATTCTTATTTCCAGTCACTGTCGTACTGCGAAAGCCAAGCAAGGCGAGACAGCGACTACGAATAAGTATAGCTATATCACAATTTATCGAACTGCTTGTTTGAGTCCAAGCTGACAGTAAAAACAGCACTCGATAGGCTATTGCATATTTTTCATTCGTATTCAATTGTCGCCATTGCATTTGCTTACCAGATAACCTTTTGCACCTTTAAAAGGTAATGCATAATTTTGATTTCTAATGTGACCATAGTTTGATGTTTACCTGCAAATGCTGGAGCCAAGCAAAGACCCAGCATTTGCAGGTATTCTTAAGACTTGCTCCACTGGCGAAAGCAGTGGAGCAAGTCTTAAGAAGTCTATTGACGCTGGCGGATTTCGAAAATGATATTCTGCCACAGTGAGTCTGTCTGGAGTGTATCAAGCACCTAGGAATTTATCCGCACCTGTTTGATGTACATAGTTAAGCTAAAGAGGAGACCGCCAATCTACAGCTGCAAAACGAAGAAAAATACTTGGAGAACAGAATTATCTGTGTGATAATTGTGTACATCCTCCACAAAAAAAAAACTCACTAGAGCATTATAAAATGGAACACACATCCCGAAGAAAAATCTCGCTCCCTTATGTGGAACTTCAATAAATGCAAGTTTTCCACTCGTGCTCATTTTTCGTTACGAGAAGTCATTTTCAGTACCACCACGACCTTGTAATAGATGCAAACGCAGTGCACTTTTGTCATATCAAATGTTTTCATGCCACTGTTGTCACTTTCAATTGTTCACTGCCCATACTTTACCGGTGATGTTTGTCTTTCAGCTGCCTTGTCTCTGCTTTATTTACCACACTAAGTGAAGGACGGATGTAATCAATATATTGTAGTAAAGATTTTGAAGTTAAAGTTGTGAGAACAATGTGTGCAAGAGGAAACAACATATTTCATCGAAACGCAGGAACAGACTTGACGCTCGAGATAACGGGAAGGTTTTAACCACGAGTGTCTTTGTGCGATGAAAAGACTGTTGACGTAAACTGTTGATTTTCCTCAATATGAACGCTAGCGATCGTCACCGGTCGATGGCCAACTGCTCCGAACTCTCCTGATTTCTCACTTCCTGCCATGCCGTCTTAAACAAAGATCGACGCTTCTTGTCATGATGTAGGCAGTTGACATTCTTCTAGACGGTAATCTGGGTGCGTTCTGTATGATATCTCTGTTGAAGGCTAAGACTGGTGAAGTATGCTTTAAACAATAAAGCAAGTCCTAGCAAGACTAATGTCTTATTTAAAATAACTCAGATTTTACTCTAAGGGAACGGTCATAGGTTGTCGGCAACGGCCGCGGAGGCCGCCGGTCATTGTAAGATCCCATAGTACCCTCCGTGTGTTCTCCGCTCTCTGACAACCTTGGCAACCTCCACAACCGTTGCCGGTAAACCATGGCCGTTCCTTTAGAGGAAAATCAGAATTTCAAATAAGACATCAGTCTTGCTATAGGACTTGCTTTGTTGTTCAAAGCATACTCCACTAGTTACCACCTTTAACAGAGATATCATACAGAACGCACCCAGTTTATCGTCTAGAAAAATGTTAACTGCCTATAAGCTATCATGACAAAAAGCGTCGATCTTCGATCGTCGATCGTCGATTCGTGGAAAATATAACACCCGACTGATTGTGACTTTTGTGCACTTTTTGTACGCTAGACTGCCACAAACTTTGCTCAGATATAAAAACGAGTTCATAAAACTTACGGACTTTAGCGTACTATTTGCGTAAATGAACCCTTCATAACAACAAGACACGACTAAAAAGGCGCAATCTTTATGAGCCTTACGTATTACATGCTTTAAAAGCATCAGAATTTAGATACAACTGCATCGAGACCTGAGTCACTCAATACATTGCAGAGCGGCTGCGACTTAAGATTATTGCGTTATTAAGTCAGATAGCAATAGGACCTAAAATGAGTGTGGCAGAAAAGAGAAAAGAGGTAGATTAGAAATGACACATTGGTAAAGATATAAACACAATTATCTGTTTGAATGCGATGCGTGAAGAAGAAGTTGTGAACGGAGATGCGAGAATGACAGAAGTCCTCGCTATTGAAGTAAGCAAATCAAAAGAAAGACAACAGTGAAAATGATTCGTAGCTAATGTACAACAGATCTAACTGAAAGGCAGATATAGCACCGGAATCTTCTGATTAGGATGTAGGCTGATAAGCATATGAAAGAAAGCAACTTTGATAATCAAATGAAAGAAAGTAACATTGAAAACTAGATGAAAGAAAATAACAAATCCAAAAATAGAAAATCCTACGAAGTCTTCCGCGTCCTTCTCCTGTTGCGAGCTGCTGTTCTCTGCAGCAAAAATATTATCTTGCCGGCATCCTTGTCTATTATCATTATCTTTGAACGGAACTCACCCTTATTAGTCGTATTCCTCTGAATTTCGGTATTCTCCCACTTGGGTTGGCGTCTAATCGCCTTGCGAGGGTGGCTCCCTCATATCTCAAATTGTTGTTGATGTCTTCAAGCTGACTCTTCACACACATCAGCTGAGTACGTACGTCCTCGCCCGGTTCCTTCAAGAGTGCGATTACCTTCATTCTTATCGCGGCCATTTCCTGAAGTATGTTTTTTGAAGAATGCAAGATGAAAACTCAACTTACAGCAGTGATCGCCTGCACAAGCTCTTTGCATGTGTCCGATGTCTCTGTTACGAGGGCGCTGTCCCGGACTTCCCTTTCCGAAATCGCCGGCATCTCGGCTTCATCCGACTCCGTGGCAGTAACAACCTCTCCTTCTACCATGTGCGAATACGTCACCATTCCTGCAATCAATAAAATACATCTTTTCACCAAAACGCAAACTGCCCGACCTTCAGGACTATAAACGAGTGCCATGTGCACATGAATGCACGAAACGCCGGCTGTGTGGTCATCCAAGCAAGTGCATTTGAAACCGTATCCGCAGGCCTTGCAATTGTAGCAATGGTTGTTAAGCTGAAATATGTTCTTTGCTAAGTACGTAAGAAAGTTTTTTTAGTACTCACAACTTCGTCACAATCGCATGGCATCTGCTTGACATGATATGTGTGATTTCTTTCGCATACTAGCCAAGATCCAGGGCTTTCTACATGGGATGTAACGTGTCCATCGCAGTACGTCTTAATTGCGTTGGCATGCCTCTTGTGCTGCTCTGCAAGTCTGTGCCGTCCTTCGCGAACGTTCCTGGCCATCTAAAATATATGCGTCGATGCGCTGCTGAGTTGATCATAGCCATCATGGTTACTTTTATCCTTCTGTCCTCTTCCATACAGGGGACTAGATTGATTAGCAAGTCGACCAGCGAATCAATTCTTACACTTGATTTCGTTTGAATAAATTCATGTTTCAATCTCCTGTGGAAACGCTCGATTGCCATAGAGGTGTTGACAGTGGATGTTCTCCGTACGTATCCTGCCCATTCGGAAATTCGTGGGCTCCTGATACACCAAAAACTCCAAAGGAGTAGTTGTGACCCTACCAGTTCCGCTCGAAGTACTGAACCATACTTTCTTCGCGATTTTGTCGCAATAGGCACAGTAGAGAAGCGTAATTATCGAAATCACGATCCGGATTCTTGCAAAGTTCTGACATTTTACCCATTACGGTAGATGTAAGACTCGGCTGAAAGGAAGTTGTTAGGGATGTCGGATTTCGTCGACATACCTTTTTGAGATTTTTGCAATATCTCTTTATGCTCTGAAGGACATGAAATGTGCACAATAGTTTTTTCGCTGATGACTGAGGAACAACTTTTATGAATCCATTGTAAAATGAATTACTGTCATCCGACATGAAATATGCTGTATCAAACTGGGGAAGTAGATGCACAATTTCTTGAAAGAGTATACTAACTTCGTTCTCTGTCATTCTGAAAACGATTTTTGAGTTACAGTTGCGTAACGGAAGTTGGTTTTTACCTGTAGGAAAGCAAAAATCCCGCTGGCAACCCCATGTCCCATTCGTCTAGGACCACTACGGAAGCTAGTCGCAGTGAGTACGGTGTAAGGTTGAAAGTATCGTCCATCAAAAGTGCGCGTTTTGCATAGCTTTCCAACCAAATTTTTTGTATCGGCGTCACAATCACTGCACGGTAAATTTTCAAAAAAAATTATTGGTATTATGTGGTCCCCACCAAGAGAGAAGTTATCGCCGCTTGCATCTGTTGCTGCTGTATAATGCCGTATCCCATCGTCGGGGTTGTGTTCTCCGATGCGCATTTCAAGCGACAAAATGTCGATACTATGTCTACGTGCTGGATCTAGATTGTGTTTCAATGCAATTCTTCTGAAACACACTTGCTTTTATCTCGTTACTATATGTTATAGTTACCAACCGCACGTCTCGCGATGTAGTGAAATACAACCGGCAACTCAAATTGTTTGAATTTCGACATCGCTCCCGAATTTGACTTAGCACTTGCTTATACGTGAATCCATTTCTTAGGTAGGAGAGGATTTGTTTCTCAGCACTGGCGTCCATTGTCAGCAGTGCAGCATCGGGCTCATGGCCGCAATGCGTGCGGCAGAATTCTACGTTGATAGTCCGTTCATTTTCCGTCACCTATTCACTGAAGTGGTACCCCGAAGAAGAAGAAAGCGGAAAATTTACCTTCATATAAGCTGTGCAATACAAGACCGTTTTTTTTGAATTTGAGCACTTCTCTATGTAAGATGGGCCAGGCTCGGCTCTACTACATCGCATGTATGTAATGTCTCCATCTGTTCCTTTCTTCTTCGAATGGACAGCGTACCTAGTAGTCTCTTCCTCTTCTAGAGCATGCTTCCAGTCCTGGAAATAGAAACGAACTAGATAATCAAACAATAAAAGACACAGTACACAAAAAATAAAAATCGATGACAACGTGGCCATTAGAACATAAAAACATGGGAAAAATACATCCACGAATGGTATGCTTACTTGAAAAGCAGATTTGCTGTTAAAGCTGATGGTTTCCACACTGAAGGTTCGGTCTCCTGAAGCGTGCACTGCGTTTGCATGTATTACAAGGTCGTGGTGGTCCTGAAAATGAATTCTCGTAATGAAAAATGAGCACGAGTGGAAAACTTACATTTATTGGAGTTCCACATAAGGGACATGAGATTTTTCTTCGGGATGCGTGTTCCATTTTATTATGCTCTAGTAAGTTTTTTTTCGTGGCGAATGTAGTTTCGCAACTATCACACAAATAATTCTGTTCTCCAAGTATTTTTCGTCGCTTTGCGGCTTGTAGATTGGCTATCTCCTCTTTAGTGTGACTATGTACATCAAACAGGTGCGCAGATAAATTCTTTCCTAGGTGCTTGCTACACTCCGGACAGACTCCACTGTAACAGAATACATTTTTGAGATCATCACCAGCGTCAACAGACTTCTTGAGACTTGCTCCATTGCTTTCGCCGGCATTTTCTTTGCTTGGATCCAGCATTTGCAGCTAAACATCAAAATATAGTCACGTTTGAAACAAAAAAATGTGCACTACCTTTTGAATGTGGAAAAGGTTATCTGGTAAACAAATGCAATGGCGACAATTGAATGCGAATGAAAAATATGCAATAGCCTATCGTGTGATGTTTTCGGTTACTGTCAGCTTGGGCTCAAACTAGCAGTTCGATAAATTGTGATATAGCTATACTTATTTGTAGCCGCTGTCTCGCCTTGCTTGGCTTTCGCAGTACGACAGTGACTGGAAATAAGAATAGCTATATCACAATCGCATGATTAATCGAACTGCTTTGAGTAAATGCGAATTCAAAAGGTAGGACGAAAACCAACACGATTTAGAAGACGCTTCACAACTGACATAGATGCATATCTGCATTAAAAGCACTATAGTTCTTCTACAAAAAGTGGACATTGAATCACAGTATGAGAAATCCATCAAGGTTTCATCAAAGTCATCAAATGAATGACTAGAAGTCAAAAAAGTTAGTAAATAACAACAAAACAACTCATAGTTCTATTTAGATACATACAGATATTACGAGGCGAATAGGCAGGAGCAGCTGAAAATGAATGTGTTTGCAAATAATCCTAAGGCCCCGGTCAGACTTCACGCGATTTGATCGTCGCCGTGTTTTCCAGTCATTTTCACATTCAAAATTCGGACTGGAAAAGTATCATAACCGAAATGCAAGCTTGTCGGCATGCAATGACCTCGTATTAGTTATCTTGTCGCGACTGAATCGCGGCGATCAAATCGCGTTAACTCTGTCCGGGGTCTAAGGGTAACTAGAGCTAATGTCAGTGTTTCATATTGATTGATGAAGAATGAATCTCTTGAGCATGATCTCTCTCACAATGAGGTCAATCGATTATGAGCTCTGAACTGGCTCAACCAAACTGAGATGACATCTTCGGCGGCCTGCTGGCAGCTCTCAAGATCTGATTAGCAGGGACAGAGCTACTTCCGTACTCATCTCTATAGTCAGGGGCATATGCTAATGATCAATTGGTAGAGGAGAGCTTCGGTGTTGTATACCCATTTGTCCAATGGGAACAAATCCTTTTGATTATCAGCAAATAGAAGATAGAGATAGTTGAAACCTTAGCAGATAAAAACAGTTCCATCAGATCTCTGAATATAGGATGATCACAGTAAAAACAACATTATCGTGTGGTAGACAGACCTGTATGTAACAGGGATTTTCTTGACACTCTTCACTGGTAACCATTTCGCACCCGCGCATATTTCTAATTCGCTTCAAAGGCATTCCAACGTCATTCTTGATAAGTTTTGTCACCTAAATCTGGTAGTATTGATGAATTATACATAAAAGTCATTGGTGTATAACTCACAAGTCGTTCTGTAGAGGTAGAACCAGGCTTCAATCGCTTCTGGTCGCAAAAGTGAATGTGCATCCAGAGGCTAAAGGACGATGTTGAAAAGCATATGCGCTTGAAAAACAGCAAAACAACAACTTTGATAAAAAGATCTTCTTTTTAACCAGTAACATGTTGAAGAACGCTATCTCAGGTCCCAAACCCGTTGGATTTGCGTACATCGCCTGACAACCTCTCCCAAGACTCTGCAATAGAAATCAATATTTGAAGTCGATAATGCTCATACTAGTGGCTCTCTATCGAAAGTATCGAGAGCATACCAAGTATTCAAAAGCGAAGAAAAAACAATTAAAACACTAAAAAAACAGGCAAATTCACATCATTTTGACTTTAAAAGCTTACCAGGTTAATGTCAGCTTCATTCGTGCGACTAAGCAAGGCGAGAGAGCGACTAGAAATAAGAACAGTATATCACAATCGGATTTCTATCCCACTGTTTGTTGGAGTAGATGCGCAAAAGAAAAATAGGATGAAAAACATTTTTTCCGCCATCGTTCGGCATGACGCGCTAAAATTGGCGTGAAATAAGTAACAATCATAGTGCAATTACACCGGCTCCAATATATTTCACGCCAATATTACTGTAAGACAGCCGAACGATGGCTGAAGAAGTAATATTGTCGCACTCACCAGCTCCACTCCCGCATGATGTTCACCTACAACTTTCGAACTTCCTTGCGCCTACGCGCGACCGATACACAAGATCCGAAAAGAAGACTCAATCGCTCAACCAAAAGTCCTCGAATGCGGGAGCTGCTTAAAACGTAGCCGAGTATGACAAGTTAATCAATAATTACACGAAAGTCGAAAAGGCGGCGGCTGCTCTGTCGGGCAGCCTTATATACCCCGCCGCTTGGCTACCTTCCAAGCCGGAGGTGGTCCTGCAGCAGCCTACAAAAGGCGCGACAGGCAAATGCGGCAAACAGCGCCCCCGGCCTCCTGTTCCGAGGAGCGCTCTGCATCGCGGAGCCGCGACAGAGGGCATGTGAATCCAAATATCAAACAGGATTCAAAGTCCTTTTTCCTCATCTAGTTCTTTAGCTTTCACCTTTTTCTATGTTTAAATGTCTAGAATTCCCTGAATTACGTTAGATTTAGTTGCTTATAGTAACGAAGACGTTCTTCTCTATCCTTTGACATCTTTACTGACTCAAATTTCATCGATATGCAAAAATATCTTTGGAGTTCCAAAATAATTGCTTCAGTGAGTCGGGCTTGCAGTGTCGTGGTATTTTTAAGAGCTTGTGTTTATAATGTGCTTGGCGGCACACCACTTAGGTGCGAAATTATGGCTTGCACGACAATGTTCCGTCCCCCCAGTTGCGGTGATTTTACTTGGCGAGTTGTGACTTGAACCTTGCAATCTGCATCAATATCATTGTATTAATGTATTGTATTCAATAACATTTTCCTTTCAAAATAAAACTTATCAAACTTTTTGTTCATTGCATTTTTACGGAACAGCAGCGACTGGCAGAAAAACAATTTGGTTGAAGAAGTGGCTATGATGGGAATTCGCAGCAAGTTTGCAATCCACAAAGTGCACAAAAGGTACTGTCTTCAAATATGATTATGAAACGTCGATACCATGATTCAGGTACCAACAAGTATATCAACAAGACTTTTTCCGAGACAAATTTGAACCTTCTTGCTCAGTTGAACTGTGCCCTTTGCCCAAGCACTGTTAAAAAAATTCGTCGCGCGGCGCAATATGACAGCTGGCGAATTTTTCTAAGAAATGGTTATGTTGATCGCGTATATTCCTAACAGTCTCAATTTTTGTACAGTTTCCTACCAATACGCTTGACTTTGAGCCTTTCATGTAGAGCACTTATAGCATGTTAGTTTATAATGTACATGCCAGCTATAAAATCTGCTTTTTTTCTCGAAAAAAGTCGATATATTGTTTACATATTGCCCTGTCAACATACAGCACCCAATCATTAAATCGATTATCCGGCATTTTAATACAAATTTGTTTGATTCCAAACTTTTTGAAAATCTAGACCCGATCGTTGAGCTTGTTAGTACTAGAGAAAGTGTGCAACATGACAGCTGGAAAAATCTGCGTTTTCCAGAAAAATCGATATGTTGGTCGCGTTTTTTGAAAGTGTTGATTGTTTTACAGCTTTTCGCCAAAATGCATAACTTTGAATGCTCTCTATTGGTATATAATGAATGCGACAAGACAGTGCAAAATCTGTTTCACTCTCCCTTCTCCCCTCCCCCTCCCCCTCCCCCAAAGAATTGACGTATCGATCGCATTTGTTAGTGCATACAGTAATCAATCAATGCATTGATTGCTTAATCAACCAATACATTGATTGTTTTGCAGTATTCCTCCATTTTTCCTCAAATATGAATATGCTAAAGAGTTTAGAGCATCCGAAGAAATGCGCTAACAGTCGATATAGATGGGTATGCACTTTCGCGCCAATATGCTAGAATTAGAAATTTCTAAAATGTCTAGAGCGCGGATGGTTGAGCATATTAGTAATAGAGCAAGTGCGCGACATGACAGCTGCCTAAAGATGTCACGTCAATGTTCACGACGAATTCGACCATCACTGACGGCAATTCAGAAGACACGTCCTTCGTCAAAATGCTGTCATTACCCCTACTCCCCTTTGATTTTTTCTGATAAAATTTTCTCTTTTGGTGGTAAAATCAATGTGTGTTTATACGGTATCGACACAAATTTGCACGGTGAGCTGTTATCAGCTGAGTAGCTGTTTAAGAAAAAAACTCCCTTTAGTTTTCAAGCACGACCCCAGCGCGACCTTACTGAAGATCAAATGTCGCAATCTTCCTAGTTTTTTCTTTTCAACTTCGCTTCTGTTGAAGTGGTAACTATTGAAATTGCTAAGAATTTTTTGGCTTTTTGCGAAATCATCATTTCTTATAAGGAAACACTCTAAGCGCTTTGATACATACCAATTTTTTGATTACTCGTTGTTGAGCGGTAGTGAGCAGCCTTTTGTCAGAAAGATACTCTTGAAGATTAAATCCATATGAACACTCAAAAATGTAAAATTAAAATAATTTTTTGTGATAGAAGGAATCCCAAAAAAGCGAACAATTTCTTCCATTTGTTCTCCCACACTCTATTCTCCTCTTCAACATTCTGCCTGCTTGAACGTAAGTTAGACTTCCTTGCAGATCCTGGCAAGGAAGTCTAACTTATTGGCAACTCAGAAAAAGAGAATTATTTTTCAACAAAGATTTTTGGAAGTTTACACCCGTTATGGCATCTGTAGCGACTTGGGCGCTACAGTCGGTCTCATCCCGGAACGGGCGGAACATTCTACAATACCGCTCACATTTTTTGAGCAATAGACGCGAATGTATGGACATGTACGGACATGTACGTACATGTCCATACATTCGCGTCTATTTTTCAAAAAATGTGAGCGGTATTGTACGTAGCAACGCGTGCGCACCGCTGCGGCCTCGCTAGCGCATAGTGCTAGCATTTTGCCAAGCTAAGACTGAGACGAATGAAGAGACATATACATGGGTTCTTAACAAGATATGGTGTACTGCAGCTGCGAAGCGGCGCGAACCGTTGTGAGGCGGACGCCCGCCAATCCAATTTCCGCCTAAAGCGAGTCGAAACTTGCTGCAATTAATCCCAAAAATGGCGCCGTACATTCAAATGCTTGAAAGCTATGAAAAAGGTGTACGACTTCAACTAGTCTCAAATAGTATGCACGGAGAATTACTCTTTGAGCGTCTATTGACAAGCAGTAACGCGTCTGAGATGATTCTTCTCCGTCATTGCCAAGATTTAGCACATTTGATACGAAACAAATTGTACACTTGATTCGATCTATTATAATGGCGGATAGTTTTTACAGCATCACGCTTTGATAGCATTTTTGGATATTTTTTGAAAAAAAAATTTGGGCTTCACAAATCAGTTTTACATGATGCTTTTGATAATTTTTAATTTTCTGTTTTTTAAATTCATCCTCACTTTCGATCTAGACACAAGAGGCATCAAATTACTGTTACATTGGGAACTTGAACCTTTTGAAGATGGTAGAAGAGAGAAAGCACAAGGACAAGCAGAGCCAAGTAAAAGAAAGATAGATCTGGGTACGGTAACAAGACTGTCGCAAACTTGGTGGTTGCGTGTGCATTTGCGACAAGCCATCGGAGGACCTTGTCATCTCCTATTTCAAGTATTTCCTTATTGATTCTTCTACATTTTTTCTTCTCAATTTCTGATAAAAATTTTCGTACTAATCATACTGCCTGAAATTGACTTCATATCCATACTTTATCCGGATCAGCTTCATGATTTTCCATCTTTCTATATTTGTCTGTTTATCGTCTATTCAGAACAATTCTTCTGCCTGTTCACTTATTGTATAGATGCCTGACTATCCAATCAAGCAATTAAAACTAGCTGTTTGAAGAATGGGTCGTCGACTACCAAACGACGCTTTTGAGTCTTTTCTAGAGATTTGATTTTTGCAGGAGACGGCAGATGATGAGAGCTGCAAAGCGTGTGGTTAGAGAGGTTCCAGAGAAGTCCGCATTTGCGTCTTGTACGTCAGAGTCCCATACAAGGTCACCATAATAGAAACCTGAAAGAAAACATTTTTCATGACCGGATTTTCCTTTCACACATTTTCTTGCAAATCGACTTCTACTAAAATGGGCCGACCATTCATGCCTAGGCCCTTTACTACAGTATCCATCATTTAAGCCTATTTTAGTTTCATTCAGCTAACCACAATGATCTCGGTGGCTTCGTTATATGGAGCTCCTTCCACGTTTACATTCCAACTTTCTTCTGTTTTTTGTGTTGCTCATTAGGCGCAGCACATCCGTCCGGAAAAAAATCGAGCGGAGACGACTTCTTGCTGGGGCTTCACTTTTGGCACGTTTCTTCATAACGAATAAGGTGCTCGGGCTTTGCGATGCGTGACGAGCAGCTTGTAAACACCAGAACAATTTTCCCCTCTTGCCATCCTTTTCCTCTTTTGAACGGCGCATGCCTCGGGAAGGGAGGGAGGGGGGGGGGGGGAGGGGGAGATAGGTCACGTCACTGCATTGTATATAGAAAATAGCAGATTGCCCGGAAAGTGACTCAAAATCACCAGTTAGCAAAGTTTCCGATCCAAATATAAGGTCTTGGCCACAAGGATTTTTTTTGTAAGTGAAAGCGGGAAGAGG